GATAATGGACAGAAGAAACTTTTCTGTTCGTGATTCATTTGTTATTTAGCTAAGAATATTTATGCATTTGTTAAATCATGATAATGCCTGTCACAGGAAAAGTGGAACGACTTCTTTTCTTTCTCGTGCCTTAGAGATTTACAATGGTATAAAAATCACAGAGAATCTTGATTACAATGTTTTCATTGTGTTTTTATGTAAATCACTGTTTTTATTTTACTGTGAACACAGTAATATAATTGTGGATTTTTCCTGAGAAAATCTTTCATTTATCTGGACTAACAGAAGGTTCAGAACTGATTATAAAACAGAAAAGTTAATTAATCATCATAAATGTTTTGCAGTGATTTCTCTTAGAGTCTATCAGAAGAAAGCTGAAAAAAGGTTATCATCATGTTGTGACAACCACAGAATTTTAACCTTGGGCTGGCGCTGGCTGGCAAATCTTTATCTTTCTTTCTCTGACTCATCTCTAAGCCTGAGGGCGGAACCAAAGTTCGTCCGTTTCTTTTACTAACCCGGACAGCTTTGAGCGACACACTCTTCTTCCTGATTCCAACCTAGGAAGACAGCTGAGATTCTCTCCGGAGAAACCTCAGCTTTGGCTGAAAATCTTATCCCATGAGCCAATTMGGGAGGATTTTACAGCCAGGGGTCCGACACGCTGCCGGGATCCCACCAGAGGCTAAGCCTCAAAGCGAATGTTTTAACTTCCGAGGGGAGATTTTATTTTGGAAGGAGAAATCGGATACAGCTTGAATTTTTTTTAGTTTGGACTGAAACAGACGCAAAGTTACCTGTAAAAACACCTGTTCGCCAATGATCGGTAAGCGAGCTGACATCAGTTCCCTGACTGATCGGAGGCGAGCCAGCTCCTACCCCGAGGGTGCCTTAAGAAGTCATCACCAGGTAAAGGTGATGTGTTCGGAGTGACGTGTCATGTGGAACCTGAGCTTAGAAAAGACGTGCAGTTCCGGTTGACCCACACTTTGACAAAAATAAAAGTAGTAGTAACGTACTAATCTTACTTTCCTCGTTCCTAATTTGCCAAAACTTAAGCTAAAAGTGCCAGTAAATTTGTTTGGTTGTTAACATCAGAACTGAHGTTTTACTGTTCTATATAAGTTATCTGAGTTGATGTGAATTGAAATTCAGACGCGGGTTTTATCTCATTTAACTCTGACGCTTGTTATAGGAATACCCACAATCAGGTGTAACTTATGATYTGTTCAATTTGTGTAAATAAATGATTGCATAGTCTTTATGAATCAACTTGAACTCATCTGAGCGTTCACTTATTGTGTCACTTTTCACTTCGCACAGTCAAGATATGAACAAACGTATGAGATGTGGGAGAAGCTTAATTCACCTTAAGCACCTTTCCCTACATTCAGGTAGAGGTGGTCCGCTCAGCAGCTCCTGAGCCTCTGAAAGAAATAAAGATTTCACTCTTCAGAACCTGGACCAGACCGGTCCTCCAGGACGTCAAACTTCCTGTTCAACTGTTGCATCATCGAAACAAGCAGAACTTTAAAAAAAATTAATTTAAACCAGATGGAGAAACTCAGAGACGGCCCCACATCTGAAACTCAAACAGGTTTTTTTTCCCTGAAAATATTCACAGAACAAATCAAAAGAATCTAAATCCTCAACTTGTTGAAACAAGTTAGTTTCCTAAAAATAGATTTAAAATACACTTAAAATCTTCAGTTAAATACAAATAAATAATAAATAAGTCAGATTAAACTTTTTTTATCCACTATTTCTCATTAATTCAGACACCATCTAAAAACAGGAATAAACTTTGTTAAATCTGGATTTTATAGTCG